GCCTACTGCTGCAAGACTGAGAAAGTTGAGAAACTGATCGGCAAACATTCAACGGAAGTATAGCGTATGTTTTGAGAAACTGAATCAGAATGCTGCTTGTATACAGCAATAAAAAAAAAGCATAAAAACTGCTATCCAAAAACGACCAAGCCGGTTTTGTAGATTGATATCATCAGTTTGCGCAACGGTTTAAACAGTATTACTGCTGACGATGGTAAATACATAGATAAATAAATGCATCTATTAGCTATTGAAGTAATTAAAAAAAAAAAAGAAAAGAACCAAAAACTTGAAAAAAAGTAAAGCTCCTAAGCTCAATATTTTCTTTTTGAACATAATGACGACGACAAACGAATTCGTCAATTATCATTATTGGCAGTTTAAGGCATCAACGATGTTGAAACAACGCCCACTGATACGTTCCCCGCTCGATGACAACAAATACCCTCCAAAGAAAAACAAAAAAAAAATCCGACAAAAAACCCTAAATCTTACAGAAAAACTACAGAGAAACAAAAACCGAAACCGGGCATTATGAACTTACAAACGTTACAAAAATGGACGTACCAAAAGCAACGAGAAAGTGTCACAACCAAAAAGCTAAACTAATCCAAATTCTTCTGCATTTTCTCTGCTTCATCAAAAGCTGCAAAAAGGGAAGAAAAAAAGGAGTAAGCCTTCCAACACCCTTATCAGTTTCATTAAACAATATATCGCTACAACCACCTGTTTGCCGACCATCAGCAAACAGTGAAGCCGTCTTCGACCATTTTTCATAATCTATCAACTGTACGTAGCATAGAATCCGCGAGAAAGAATATAAAGAAAGGGGAAAAAAACCAATGATACGCGACAAGTGATAAACCTGACCTTTTTTTGCTTGTTACAACTCCTTTTCTCCTCTCCTCTTCTCAACCCCTCAGATATTGCATTTGAGAATCGATCAATAAAGATTCCAATGATATAAGTGCTGCTCAGGAGAATACTCTAATCCTTCCACTTCTACATACCAAATTTTGCAGTATCAACAACAAGAAAAAAGCCTCTAAAAAATGATGACGTGGCAATTCGTCTTCACTTAGCTATTTGAGAAATACATAGACAAGAAGCGCCTCCCTCCAAACAAGCTGTACATAAACCGTTTCTTTGTAAGCGTTCGCAATAATCGCTTGATAGCAGCTTTTAATGCAGAAGCATATCAGTGAAGAGAACTGTTCACTCATCCATCTTCTTATTGCTCTCTGTTTCCCCCTCCTTCTCCTTCTCCATCCTTT